GGTCAGACCAGATGATCATAATGGTCCCTTCTGACCTTAAAGTCTATGAGTCTATGAGATCAAAACTCCTTCTCAGTAACTCAGTGAAGTTCCATAACTCCGGAGCACAAAGCCCCATAGGGATAAACCATTTTCTCCACCATACTTGCAGCCAATAATTCAGTCTGAAGAGCCCCAGTCAGGCCCCACATCCCAAGCTCGTCAGTGCTATTCCATAACCCTTCTGCCCCGGTGGCTTCTTCTGGGTCTGTGACTCTCTCACTCTACTGGATTCTCCATCTCCATCCACCTTCCAGAGCCTCCCATGTACACAAGACAGCAGAGTAGGTCATGCTACCCATCGCTATAATGCAGCTACCTCGCCAATGTATCCCCACTCTCAGCATCACCGCTGAACTTGCCTTGCCTCACTTCTCCTACTCCAACAATGTCCAATCTGAGGGAGCAGTCAAGATCTGGTAAGACACATCACCCATGCAAGTGGACTCAGGGAGGTATTTAGAGAAATAGTGTGGTCTAGTGGATAGGGCACTGGACTGGCAGCCGATTTCCTGGCTCTGACACTGACATTCTGTGCGATCTTGGGCAAGTCACTTCACCATGCTGTGCCTCAGTTTCCCCCTCATGCCTTTTGTCTGTGTTGTCTATTTAGAGTGTAACCTCATCATATCTCTTACTATGTGTGTGTGCAGCGCCTAGCCACAATGGGACCTTGATCTCACTTGGGACCTCTAGGTGGTATTTAAAAATTAAATAATTAAAATTAAATATCTCTGCCTTCCAATATTCATTCATATTATTCATATTAATTAATATTCATTCATATTAAAAGCTCTGCCTTCCAATATTCAGACTCCCTCCACCATCCTCCCCAGTGCTTTTATAGCAGCCTCGTCTCAACGCTGGGAATAAGTTAGCCCCAGGTGAGAGCCACTCTGAAATTAACTTGATTTATCAGGGATCGTTTCTAACTCATACCAGGCTTTCCATGCCTTCCTCTTTCAGGAGCAAACATGATGTCTCTGCAGATTTCCCAGCTCGCAGGATCAGAACCTGAAACAGAACCCAGATCTTCCACATGGCAATGCAAAGCAATATTGCTCTGCCACCTGGATGGCCGCGACTGGATTATTTTGAGAGCTTTACTGCCGCAGAAACCCAGAAATACAAAAAGGCACCACATACAAGAGTTTTTCAATCATGTAACCATTTTACACTGAAGATTGATACCTGAAGTGTTGCATCAGAGAATTAATGGAGTCTATGCAGGCAAACGGACTCAATCTGGTAGGCCATTTCTGTCACTAAACTCTAGGGCCATTGACAACTATGTTAATTTACACTACTGAGGGTCTGGCCCTATTATCCTACTTCAGTTGCATATGCTATATGTGAGCCCATACTCCAAGTCATTAGTTTGTTCAGTTGACCCTCACCGCACTCATTCTTTGCACTGATTTCTCTTCCTTCTCCAGTTTTGTAGCACCAGCAATTATCAATAATCTCTACAGCGCATTCCTTCCATCCAAGTCATGGACACATCGGGTAAAGTGCAGACAATAAGCAACCTTAGTCACCCAGCTCCTCCACCAGGAGGCGTCTCATACAGACGCACTTGCTATTGTCAATCTCCAAGCCAATTCTTTATCCCAAAAAAGAAGCTCATGGCTACAAATTTAATTGTGATTATTTTGGGATCTCGGTCAGACAAGCCTGTAATGTCTCATCCTTCCCATCTACACAGAGGTGTAGCAGATCCAAGTTTGTGTCCTACAGTGCTAGACGCATGGTGCAAAATACTGTACCTGATGTCCCCTCGTGCCTGGTGCACCCACTACATACATGGCTTCTGTGTCACAAGCTCTGAGGCAAGCGCTTCAGGGACAGATTTTCAAAGACACAAAAGACAATTAGGCACCTAAAATCTGTCTGGCAGGTGCTCCAAGCACTAGGCCCTATGGGCTCTAATCCCTGATTGGTCACAATAAGCACTTCACCAATCATCTTCAACATCTCGCTCCTCTCAGGGTCCCCACACACCTGCACCTCACCACCGGCCTTTCAACTACCACAGAATCTTCCCTGCCTGGCAGTGTTCCTATAGGATGCTCCAATAGTTAGAGCACTAGCCTTGGCCACCTAGGTTTGAATCCTGATCTGCCACAGCCTCCCTCTATGACCCCTGGGCAATTCACTTAACCTCTCTCTGCCTCAGTTTCCCCTCTGTACAGTGGGGATAATAGAATCATAGAATATCAGGGTTGGAAGGCACCTCAGGAGGTTATCTAGTCCAACCCCCTGCTTAAAGCAGGACCAATCCCCAGACAGATTTTTGCCCCAGTTCCCTAAATGGCCCCCTCAAGGATTGAACTCACAGGCCAATGCTCAAACCACTGAGCTATCCCTCCCCCCAATAATAGCACTGCCCTATCTCACAGGGATGTTATGAGGATAAATACATTAAAAATTTGAAGCGCTTTGAGATCTGCTGCTGATGATTATAATAGGTATTATTATACCCTCTCTGAGAAGGAGGAAAAGAGCAGCAACAGATTCATGGCACAGCCCTCTGCTGATTATTACTGCTCAGGGGTCGGCAACCTTTCAGAAGTGCTGGGCCGAGTCTTCATTTAGTCACTCTGGTTTAAGGTTTCACGTGCCAGTAATACATTTTAACGTTTTTAGAAGGTCTCTTTCTATAAGTCTATAATATAGAACTAAACTATTGTTGTATGTAAAGTAAATACGGTTTTTAACATGTTTAAGAAGCTTCATTCAAAATTAAATTAAAATGCAGAGCCCCCCGGACTGGTGGCCAGGACCCGGGCAGTGTGAGTGCCACTGAAAATCAGTTCGCGTGCCGCCTTTGGCACACGTGCCATAGGTTGCCTACCCCTGGCTCAGACCATTCATTATGATAACAACAAAGCTAGAAAGAAAATGGTCCTGGTATTTTCTGTGAAAAATTTCAAAAGAAATGAAGAATGGTCCATTTTTCCCCAAAAAATTTTTTCCAGGTTTT